TAGCTTCCAGCGGCTGCTGCTGACTCTACTCAATGCAGACAGGACTTATCTAAAGCTGGCCAAGGACATGGTCTATGCCAATTCAATTGGTCCCATACTGGAGCTGCTCGATAACATGCTGCATCATCAGATTATCTCCTATACCAGGTGGAATATTTGCTAGAAATATGATTAGCACCTAAGACCATCGTACGAAAATTTTAAAAAAGTTTTTTCCTGATGCAAAATCTTAGTATTATAATTTCCCATTCTCGCTCTCTCTTGCTACAGCTATGGCCTCTGCTCGCCGCTTAATCTGCTCAACATCTGGCTCAATTGCTTCACATCATTGCCAGGCTGGTCACAGAACGCGAATCTGTTGTATCTGCTGGATAGAATGCTGTGCATTTCGTACCAGTTCCCCGACTGTCGTGCCCAGGCTGTGGAATTCTTCTACAACTTTTACAAGGTATGGCAAATGAGCTCTTAGCATCTACAGAACATATTTAATGGTACACTTCTTTGGCAGGATTGCAGCGAGTGGAAGACACCCGCCAAGTCATCCGCCCTAAAGGCGTTCTTTGGTAATCAATCGTCCGCTTCGCGCATACCGCTGATCTCGCCACAGAACTGCTGGTTGAATCTGGTACTGCTGGAGATAGAGTTTCGGGTGGTGGACACGCGCATCTGGCCGGAGCTCCTGCGCCAGGTCTCTGTTCAACCTATGGAGGCGGCTCTCAAGAAAACACTGTCTCTTAGCAAGACAAACGCCTTTCCCGCCAACCAATTGGTTGTCTTTAAGTACGCCCAACTCCTATCCAGCATGGAAACCAACCATCCGCTCTTTCCCATCGTCTGCCAGAAGTTCTTCGAACTGTATCTGTGGCGAGTACCCAGCGAGGGCGAAACGCTAAATTTCAGCCATAATTTCGGGGTCTCGGACAAGTTCTACGAGCACAATGTCCCCCTGATGAAGAGCATCAAGGGACAGCTGAAATCCGCCGAGTCGTACTACGCGGCCCTAGCCCTCAAGTCTGCCAGTGACGATTCGCTGGCTCATTTCTATCGCAGCTGCTGCAAGCTCATGAAAAACTGTGTTCTCTGGCTGGAGGATACGCAGCTCAATCGTTTCACCAGTGATGCCGAACAGCTGCCGGTTCAGTACAACTCCATTAAGCTGCGAGAGCTACTTGGCGGCCATGTTAACCATTGGACGGAGTTCCTGTACCTCGTCACGCTGCGCAAGGAGCAGCGCCATCAGGCCGATCAGTGGGGCCGCAAAGTGTTTCGTTTGCCCAACCAAAAGCCCCTGCGGAGTCCGGTGCAACCCAGGCCCCGACTGTCGGCATCGCAGAATATCAAAAGCCTTTTGAGTACCTATGAGAAAGGCGTTCCAATTCCAGGACACTGCCGCTGCAATCCGATTCAAGCGCCACCCGTTGATGGAACAATTCTGATGCAGCTTAAGAAGCTCCTTGGGATATTTAATTCGACTGCCAAGTGAGTCGTATACAAACCTTCGTTTAAACTGGAATTTATTTCTTATTGCTCCCCTAGAAACTATCATTATATGACCTCGGAGCTGAACTCGCTGAACCTCAACTACCTGGAGGACGTGCCAGCAATGTACCAGATGGTGCCCTACGAGGAGACCAGGCGCAAGGAATGCAGCTCCATGCTCTTTAATCGCAGCTGCACGTCTCCCGTTCAGCTCACATTGAGGCCGGAGCACATTAGACGAAACGAGCAGATATTCCGCAAGCAGCAGTTGAACAGGGAGCGGCATGAGAAGCGTCTGGAGGCACTTTTACTGGCGGCCAACGTGGATGCCTTTGCACAGTCCATCGAGCAGTTCGGCCTGTGTATTCGGGCGCTGCTGCAAGCGCCGAGTGGCAAGAGGGTAACAGATCTGGGTGTGGCCACGTTCTACCATATGGTGGATTGCCTCAACGAAGTGACGATGCACTTCCAGCCCACCCATGATCTCTACTTCCAGGTGATGGAGCAGCTGGGAGTCTTCCTGCAAGCCGACCAGGATGCCCAGGGATTATCGGTGCTGAAACTGGCCCTTCAGCGTTCCGATCTCCTCGAGCTGCTGGCCGGAGTCTTTGTGCCTTCTCGAACGGACGTCGAGCACTTCCTGCCCATGTACCAGTTTCTTATCGACTCGCATCTAAAGCGCTGCGACACCAAAACCGTCTTTGTCCTGTTCTCCAAGTTCGATTTGCTCTGTTGGCTGGAGACCTATCAGCCGAAGCTGAGCGAGATCAACCGCCTGCTTCTGCTGGTTCTGCAGGGCCTGGAGGCCTGGTCCCAGCCACACTCTAGCCTGCTGCAAGATCAATTCCGTCGCCATTTGGTGCACATATTCTGCTACGACTTCCCCCAGCACTACGGGGAGGTAATGCAACTGGTGTTGGACCGCATCTCGGATCAGAAACTGATGCCCTTGGTGCTGGTCGAACTTCTCAACGCTCTCTTTGCCACTTGCAATTGCCAGGGGCTCGCTGTGGACCAATTGGAGGTGCGGGTGCACGAACTGTCGCTGGATTTTTCACGGCGCCAGAAGCTGTTTACCCTAAAGGCCGCCACGGATACTTTGTTGCTGTTTTCTAGGCACTTCCAGAAGGAACGGCTTCACCATGGTCTGCACGGATTGTATCCCAAGCACAAGGACTATTGCCAGTCGCTGGTTCTGTGGTTCACCTGCTTTGGTCATGTGCTGCTATCGTCGGCTATTTGCAGCTATCAGGAGCTACTGGCTGATCAGAGTAAGAGCTTCTTCGGCGAAACCATTTGTGGATTCTCATTGCCTTTCCATTCCAGTCAGCGACATTGTGTTCGGCTCCATTGTGGAGACCTACGGTCCTTGGCTGATCCCATACACTGAACAGACGGCCAGTGGAGTGGCCCACTGGATACGCCAGCTTACACCCGGCCAGACCAAGGTACTTCTGCCTTGGAGCGAGCAGCAAGTGAGCAGCAGCAAACTTATGATTCGCTCGTTCACGGCCACCATCATCCAAGTGCTGCAGTATTTGCCTTCGTCCAGCATGATCTTAGAGCATGTGTTCGCCTGGTACGTGCACCACTTCGCACAGCCCAATATGGCCGGCCATGTGCTAGCCCCCATCCACGAGGGTCTGGCCCAACTGCCCTGGGAACGCTTTCTGCCACCCGCCAAGCATATCGAGCTGTTGTACGATAGCCTGCAGCGCTTTATGCCCGAATCGCATGCGATGTTGGGCCACATCTTCATACGAATCGACTGGAACACTTGGTTCGCCCAGATGCCACAGCCGGTGGCGGTTCTGTCGCGACTCTTTGGCATCTTCGTAAAGATGGCCTTTGAGCCAAACATTCACATACATCCGAACACGAGCAAAATCCTAGAGGAGGCCATCCAATACCCCTGGCATCTGGTCGAATACAGCGAGTTGGAGCAGCTGTTCAAATGGTTTGTGGCCAGCGTGGAGCCCGCCATTGTCCTGAAGCTACCATCAGAGAGCAACTATGCAGATCGTGCTGTCTTAGAGTGAGTCTTCCACAGAGTTTTAATTTGGTCTTATTTATGGACTCAATTCCATTCGGTAGTCTGCTACGTCTGGCCTGCGCCATGCTGCCCGAGCGGTCCGCACAAGATTCTGTAGTTCTGGGAACTGCCAAACGCATGATGTATACCCGCTCCATGGTCCGGCTGCAGCGTGCCTGCGGGGCCAAGCACAAGAAACTGCTGGCTACCAAAGAGGGGGAGCGTGCCTTCACCGATGCCTTCCTGGAGCTGTTGAACAGCATCGATCGGGCCATCAGCAGCTGTAGCGAGCAGCGCACGCCCGAGGAACAGCGGCGCGAAGCTCTAAACCTGATGGTTGAACTGGTGGCACCCACACAGACGCAGAGTCAAGAAGTTTCCATGTAAGGCCTGATTTTTAATTGGGTTGTGTTCTGATCTCTAATCCAATCTCTAGTCTTCACATTAAGGCACTGGTGTGCTGGCAGCAGCAGTGTGCGCCGGGCAACCTGGTCATGTGTTCCGCCCTGCCCGCTATTGGTCTTTTGAACACGTACATTGCCAGTATCTACAGCCTGCTGGAGTCCAGTGTGGAGAGCTACTTCCGCACATCGACCGAGTCCGCTCCCTGGCATGCCCCCAGCTGGCAAGGACTGTTCGAGGCGTTGAGCATGTCGCTGCCAAAGCTCGAACTGATGCCCATTATGCAGGGCAGCTACTTCTTTTCGCTGCACGTCTTTGTCCTGTACAAAATGGAGGAAATCGCCACGGATGGAGACAAGGTTACGTTCCTGCAGGACCTCAGCCAACTGCTGGACAACCTGAAGACGAGCCCGCTAACCGAACCGCGTCTGGCCCTCGTCTGGGGCGCCATCATTTCGCGTGGCTCCCAAATACTTCAGGTTAACCCATACGTGAAGAAACCACTCCATATGCTGGCGCGTCACCTGCAGATCGCCTCCACAAAGGCCGAGGGTTGGGGTGATGGACTGTTGGGCGTCATTGGGCTCAGGTCAGAGGTCATAACGAACAGGTGGGACACCCATTGTTTTCCAATTATATTTTATAATCGTTTTATTTTGTGCCAGGCGAAAAGTGTTGACCCGCTGCCTGGCATGCGTCGTATTCTCGCTGTGCCCGGCCAATCGTGAACTTCGACTGCCCTGCGAGGAATACGAGAGCGGCATGCGTGAGCTCTCCATGCTGCTGGCCAACAAGAGGTTTGCTGACGTCAAACCCTTGATTGTGCGTGCCATCAGCCTGCTCAAGGAGCATTGCCTGCCGGAGGCCCGCGCTGTTCCCCATTTGGTCTGTCGCCTGATTGGCATCTTCTACGAGCAGAGCTACCTGACAACCATTCCAGAGGTCTGGGACTTTGACTTTCGCCTGAATGCAGCAGCATAGCTCTCCCTTAACAATTATCAATCCCAACAGCCAGTTGTGTTATTTTCTATGGGCTTTTTATTATTATTATATATATGTATAGCTAGACTTAGGACACATAAAGTGATTGATTTTTGCATTACGAATGCTCCGTATGGATATCCAATACCAATTTATTTAAAATCTATCTTTCTCGAGGGTGTGTGTATACTTGAAGCCATTTGTTTAAGCGTAGTTACAATATCATCGTGAACAATCACTAGAGCAACAGATGGACATAATTGAATTTTTATATATATAAATACGTACATCTAGTCGAACGAACGAACGATAACAAACGAACACATATTGCTATACAGACAACATAATATAAATAACATTTATGGGGGACTACTGCGACAAGCATGCGCGGGTTTAAGGGGAACCAGAGGCAGCCGGGGCTCCGGTTAGAGACGATTCAGTCTTCCACAGCAAAGTTGGAAAGCTGCAGATGCTGCAGATTGTTGCGGGCATCGAAATAGCCCGTGTCGGTGGGATTGTCGGGCGTGGGCACAAACGGCGGCTCCATATTCCCAATGTTCTCCCAGTCAATGCACGCAAAATGCCGCATTTGCTGAACTTCTTTGGCGGCAGGTCGCTCGGCGGGGTCCATTGTTAATAGCAGCTCCACAGCCTCCATTGCATCGACGGACAAGGCCTCTTCGCCTTCGGGCCATTCAATGTCTGCAAAGAATAGAAAATGAGTCACGAATTTCACAACGAAAGATTTTATATTTACTTTTGTTAAGAATGTTGTCAAATACTTTTTGGGGCGTCTCGTCGTTGAAGGGTGGAATGCCGGTCATAAACTCGTAGAAGCAAACGCCCAGCGCCCACCAGTCGACGCCGGGGCCGTGACCATGCTTCAGCAGCAGCTCTGGCGCCAGATAGTCGGGTGTGCCCAGTATACGCTCGTTGGAGACGCGTCCTCCCCGCCTCACAGACTTTGGGGTGCGGAAGGGCGTATTGATGTTCATGTTTTTTGGGGTCTTAGGCATAATCCCGACTCCGTGGTTTATGGGTGACATTGTCGGATCGTCGGCCAACTTCAGGTGATACTGAACGCAGGACAATTTCTCGGTAGCCGTATCCTCCCGCTTCTTGTTCTCAATGGACAGGGGCAGAGCGAAGCGTGTGGCCTTCAGCTTGCCGAGCAGTCCGCCGTCCCGGCGTGGCAGCTTTTGCGATGACACAGGCGTGGAGAAGACCACATTGGCCACGTTCGCCTCAGGGCCGAGCAAATGCTGCAGAGGCATGTCGTCGTCAGACAAAGAGCGTACCTTGAGTACGCCACGAATGGGCGAGGAGCGAGCCTTTCGCTTCTTGGGCGTACTGCTGCCAATGTTGAGTATCTCGATCTCCTGGGTGAGGCCAGTGTTGGCGCTGCCGTTCCCGGAACTGGAGCCGTCCGCATCCATGCTGGACATATTGTTGGACCGATTCACCAGATTGATTTTCCGCTTCATGCCACGCAGGAAATCGGGTCGCTTAAAGTGTTTGGAGAGATTGCGAAAGGGGGAATTCATGTGGATTCCGCTCATCTCATTGCCATTTGTCAGATTGTAGCTGCGCGAGTAGTCCGAGCAGCTGTAGTCCTCCTTTGAATGGCTCAGATTCTCCGTGTTCTTTTCAATCGAGGAAGCAGTACTGTTCTCGCTGTTCTGATTTAGATGGCAACCGGAGTAGTCGTCTCCCTTTCGACTCGATACGCCGGAATCCTCCTGCCCTTTGTTCCGGTTGCGCTGTTGGGATGCCAAATAAGAAAGTAACTCGGGGATATTTTTAGTACTTCGACACCTTCGACCAGAAACATAGACAGTGTCTATTAGACACACAGGCTGACACAGAGAGACATACGCATAGACAGAGACATAGACATAGACAACGCACCTCATCGAGCGATCGCCTGCGCACCATGGAAAACTCAAACGAGGCCTCGTTTGCGCTCTCCAACTTGGCTTTGCCATTGACATTGCTGGCCCCATTGTTGTTGTCCTGCTCGGCCAATTTGCAGCCCTTTCAGAGATTTCAGAGACATATGCAATTGAGTACAGGGAGAGGAGGGCGCTACTCACCTGACATATAACCGGATCCAGGATAAACTCCACCCGCCGCTTGCTAGGCACTGAGTCTGCAACCGCACCAGCTGCAACCGAGTCCAGTGGTGGAGAGCACTTGCTAAGTTCAGCCGAGGTGCAAGTGTGGTAGGAGCATGAGGAACTGCTGTCCTGAGGCTGCACAACAGAACAATAACAGAGACCAGGAGAATGAGGTTCTGGAGAAGAGAAGGGCAGGGTCGCTTTTGCTATACTGACATTGGTAATAGCCGTACATGTATGGGTAATCGATTCATTAACCTCGGCGGAGAAGAACGGCGATACGCCTGAGATTTTACTGTCGCTCGTCTTTTCTGCATCAGTCAGTGATGTATCGCCCTCACTATCGGACATCTCCATGGCCTCATGGCCATGCTTGTTGATGGCCTGCAGCAAATTGGATGTCCCCGTGCCCATGGTCGTGCCACCGGTGGCGGTCAGTGAAGAACCATATTCCTGCAGCTTCTTCTCAGAGCCGAAGGACAAATGTGAGGTAAGGGACAGGAGTTGGCCTGGTGTCCGGGCATTCAGGTTGGGCGAACAGTTGATCAGATCGGATATCTCCAGATCGCGTCGCATGTCGATTTTACTCAGACCAAAGTCCGTGAGCTTCACATGACCCGTGTGCGAGAGCAACATGTTGTCCGGCTTGATGTCCCGATGAACGATGCCATGCTGGTGCAGGTACTGCAGTCCCATGGCCATCTCGGCCACATAGAATCGGGCCGTTGCCTCGTCAAAGTAGCCGTACATGGCCAGCAGTGACTTGAGATCGCCGCCCACCATGTACTCCATGACCAGGTACACGTAGGAGAGCGACTGCAGCGAATAGAAGAGACTCACGCAGAACGGCGACCGGGAGAGTGCTAGGGCATTGCGTTCGGTTATCACCTGGGACACCATGTTCTTGTTGATCATCTCGGACTTGCGCATCACCTTGATGGCATACAGCTTGTTCGAATCGTTGTTCTTGTAGCCCAGGAACACCTTCCCAAAGGCGCCCCGGCTGATCGGCTTTATGATGACAAAGTCTTTGATCGTCGGCAGCTGCGTCGGAAATAAAGTGCAGGAAAATACATGAGAACCAACTAACGGCGTGTGCACGCGGTAACTGTAAATCACACTTACACGGCGCACGGATGCACGTGTGCTTACCTTGGCATTGTTTGAGTGATTCTCCGGTTTGGTGGTTAGGATATTTATCTTATCCAGCAACTGCTCGCTATCGATCAGCGAGTTGGTCTTCTTTGGAGTCTTGTAGTCAATTTGCGGATCGGACTGCGAAGTCGCATCAGCGTTTTCCATTTCTTCAAAGAAGCGTATTGCAGACTTTCTTCCTCTCGGTTGCAGAAATTAAAGCGATCTGAATTCAAGGTGGGGCTTGTTTGGATTCAGTCAATGGCTGCTAAGTGCTCTTAAGGCATTTATTGCACAAAATTTAAATTTACAATTCAAACCGAGCAGCGCGTCGATGCGTCGCTTCCCTCAGAAATATACTGAAAAATGCCACAAATTAAAAAAATACCGTAAATATTCCACTCTAGTTGAGGCACGCTCTTCTTCTTCCTTTTCCCGCTATTCGGTACATTCCTGATATTCGAAAAATTACTGTAAAATGGCTATTTTACTGATTTATTTTATATTATTATTTGGTTAGCTGTTAATGAGCTCAAAACAAAATTCAATATACATATTTTAAATAACAAGAAAAAATAATTTTATATGTATATATATTTTTATTTTACAAGGAAAAAGTTTTAACGAAATTTAACTTTGTTTAATAGTTAATGAACAACATCACCCTATCCAAACACGATAAAAACACAAGATTCAGCAATACCCAATACATGGATAAAACATCCTCCAACGCATGCCCACTGTGCCACAACCCAACCATAGGCACAAGACACATACTATACACATGCTCCGCCCTCTCTCTTCAAAGATCCTCAATATTCCATAACACCGACCCCATGCAATACATCTCCAACCCTAACAACAATAACGCAAAAATAATCCTCAACTACCTAGTTCAATCCAAAATCATTCACTACATATAACCTCATATATATTTTTATTTTATAAGGAACAAGTTTTAAGGAAAACTAACTTTTTTTAATAGTTAATGGAGTTAGCCTTATACTTCTGAAGCTTCTGCAGCCTACGGGGCTGCCCCAACCAAGTTTTGTAGAGTTAATACCTCAATATTGACCCTAGTTTGAATATTGTCGCTAGTTTTAAGTCCTTCACGGCATCGTACTGCCTTCTACAGGCATAAACTTTTGCTGCAAGGAAGCCCCACAGATCCTCAATTGGATTTAAGTCCGCACTTATTGCCGGCCATCATTGCCATCAACGGTATATTGTGGGTCTCAAAGTAATCCATTGAGGCCCTGGAAACATGAATTGGCGCGTTATCCTGCTGAAATGTCCATTGAACACCATAGAAATGTTGAGCAAATTAAATAAGTTAACTATCTACCATATCATAAGCGATCCACCATAAGTAGTCGGCTTGTAACGAGTTGCAATACTTATGATGGACATCCATCTAAATTTAATTTTTGTTTCATCACTGAAAATTAAAATTTTTAAACTCGAGCTCGCAGAACTTGCGTTTAGTTAAGCGGAGTTTTCCAACTTTATTTTGATATGTGCCGTTCAAATTTTCGTTCACACGTTTCCTGGGGATTGTTAGTCCCGAGTTCTGCCTTGATTTTGTTGCAGCTGATCAAGTCTTCAGTTGCAAACTGCCGCAACTGCCGTTTTGCACATTTTCTGATGGTAACCGTCTGGATCTATTGAAAGTTTTGAAATAGGTTTTCAATGTCGATTAATTAGCGAAGCTATTCGACCAGTTTTCATGCCGGCAAATTTCATTCCCTGTTCTTCCTCAGAAAATTCTTTACCATGTGCCATTTTTAACGAAAAATTAAATTTTTTTGAATTGTTTTAATTAAATTAATCAGCTTGTAACTTCTAATGAAAAGCATGATGGCAAATACATAAATGTTTTCTACGTAGAGCACGAGCTTGACCTCAAACCAAAGAAGCAAATACTTTTTAAGACAAATTAAAAAAATATTTTTTGCACACGTAGTCATTTTAGTACGGCACATTTTTTGTTGAAATTAAACCAAATGCAAATGTATTTATTAAAAATGCCCTTTATTTATGAAATACGCGTTACATTTTGACGCATCTAGTTTTTTACATGTATGAATAATTTCTTTTTTTGTGTTTATTGAATAGAAAGCATTTAATTTAACGGAAAAATTACGTACATTTAACATAAAACTTTGAATTTGTATCCACACTACAGACTAAATATTGATTGGTTTCTTTTTGTACCCACATTTTCTGGGTACACGAGATGGTGGTGTTTGTTCTCGGTGCCAAGCGATTCGTCAGTGGATGCCTAAGCTTCAGATTGAGGCTCAGCCATTCAGCGACGAATCACCGCCAGGTCGGCCACGTGATGGGCCTGGCTTTCGTTAGCTCTTCCTTTGGCCAGAAGAGAATAGCCAATGCCGCACCACGTGCTGGCTATGGCCATAAGCGGGTGGTTTGTAGCTCACTCTTAACATGTAATTTTTGTCAAAACACAAACTACATAAAAGGGTGACGGATATGCTAGGATATAAGTTTATCAGCTAAAGGAAAGGGATCGGGAGGGGAGTTTATCATTGTTTACATTATTGAGCAGCGCGAACGGTTTTCGCCGACGGATACCTCCACGGCAGACTCTGAAGCCGGAGAAATATTCTCTCCATCAGATTCGGCGTTGCCATCGTTAATTTCCTTCTCGGTGTTGATTTCTTTGTCTGGGCTTCCAGCCTTCTTAGGCGTCTCCAGGCCTGCCTCCTGGCCCACAGTAACCTCCTTTGGGTCTTGCTCCTCAGCGCTGCCCGAAGAGATGTTGAGCTGTTGTTGATCCATTTCGACAGCAATGCACTGCACGTCCTGGACTTTCCCATTTTCATCGCCGTCGGCTGGGGTCTGTTCCAGACGCAATCGCTGGGGAGAGCTGATGGTGGTCTTCGAGAAGCGCGATCGCAGCAAAGAGAACGGAGAGGCCAAGTTCAGGCTGAAGAGATCAAAGCGGGCGCGCTTCGGTGGCGAAGTCTCCATATCCTGCGGCAAGTCAGTGATGGACTTTGAACCTAGCAGTTGAGGCGGTGTCCGTTCTCGCTTGCGTCCGCGTCCAAAGAACGAGAAGGAGAAAGATGAACTGTTGGGTATATCCGATCCCACTGTAGCATTCATGCTGTAATTTGTGCTGGTCGATGTGTCCAGATCGTTGGTGGTACATCTATAGCTTCCGACCTTCGACGGTGTCAGCGAGGCTGTGTTCCGTATGCTGCGCCTGCCACTGATCTGTGCGAAAGTGCGTGCCGGGGCCGGACTGCATGGCTGAGCGACCAGGTTGACCTCAGTGCTCGGTGGCTTGCTGCTTCCCCCGAAACCGAATAGTCGGCGTCCAGGTGTCGATGTGGCAGCCGGCTGGGCATTAAGGTGGTCAACAGCACTTGTCACACTGCGTATCGGTGAGGCATCCACAGTAAGCGGCTCCATTTCAACATCCTCCTGTGGTGTAGTAGGAGCGGGAGTCTCCTCAAGTGGCTCTGGAGGAGTCGCTGCTGTTTCTGTCTGTTTCTTCGGAACCGGCGAGGAGCTTGGCTTGCTGGTCGGAGTTTTTGGCTGGCTGGCCGCCGCCTTGCGCAACGATTTTCGCTCGCCGGTGGGAGTGGTGGGCCCTTGCACTTTCACTGGGCCTGTTACCTGGTCAGGGGCCAAAACCACATCATTCTCAGCCTGATCGATGGTTAGGTCAACCTCGACAGTCTTTGATTTTACAATTGTCGTTGGAGCTGCAGCAGAATTAGGAACTGCAGCAGCAGGAGCAGCAGAAATAGTGGCAGTATTAGCAAGAGCCTTTTTGGCTTCCTTTTCGCTGGTGACGCTCTCTTGGGTATCCTTGTTGTCCCTCCTTTCAGCTACTTTTTCTACCTTTTCCTTGGGCTTCTGCTCCTTGGCTGAGTTGCCATTCTGCGGCGACTTTTCCTTTCCATTGGTGGACTTGCTAACGCCATTGATACTCTTCTTTTCGTCCTCCTTGGCGGTGGACCCACTCGAAGCAGAGCTTGCCGGTCCGGATCTCTGTCCGCTGCATTTTTTGAGCGACACGAATGGTTCTGTCTTCCGTTGTGGACTGCTTGAACCCTGCTGGGACCGGCTGACAGCAGTGCCAGCGCTTAGTGAGAGCGGCAAGCGACGTCCCGAGCCACTGGCGGACACTCCTCCTGTTCCACCGCCGCCACTAGAATTGTTTGGTTGAGCCATTTTGCTTAGCATCGGATTCTTTGGCCGTGTTGCACGATCTCTGCAAGGAAAAAAGCATAAGGGGAGAGTCGATTAGTAGGTTTCACAGTAGGTCTTCTCACACTTCAAGTGCAGCGAAATCGAAAAGAAAACTAAACAAGTTTCAATTGACAGCCGAGTCGAGTAATGTTTACGTCGGTCGTATCGCATTCCTCGCGCAGCTCGGAAAACCGGCTCGGAAACCACCCCACCCCACGTACCACAGTTGCTGTTGTATCACAGTTGGTCCAAGTGTTTCCACTTTTCTTAGCGCTATTGTATTTGGTTCTAATCTGGGATACGCTTAGCGTTTTCCTTGTTCGCGTTGCGTCTTGACTGTTTCACGTCTAGAGCTTAACTTACTTGTGGACAGAGCCTGACCAGTCTTTAAGTAGGGAACGCAGGTAATCGGTAAGCTATCAGACTACCTACGGGGACAGCTGTCGTTTATGATGGGTACAGATTAGAATATTATTACTCGGAATTGCCCTTCATCCAGCGACATATGCCAGCCTCAAAGGAATACCAATACAGGCAAATACATATGTATGTATGTACCTGCATATGTAACATTTGCAGAGTCCGAATATTTTTCCCTGCTTTTCCTCAGCGCTGATTATAAATCGCTTTTATGGTTCTGCCTGAGTTATTCCCCTCTCCCAAATATACTCTTCACTGGCTTCCGTTCCATTAAATGCATTCGAAACAAAATGCGACATAACCAAAACAAACACTGGCCAACACGCAACAGTATCAACAGAACAAACCTGTGTTTGTGTCCCCCTCTGTTCTGTTCCCTCTGCCAACCAGAGAGAAGATGAAATAAAAAAAAAAACGCTTTGGGTCGCATAAGGAATGAAGAATAAGTAAAATATCGAAGAAGACGAAGAATAAATGCGCGATTCCCTTCCCTGACACCACCCCATTGCCGGTCATACTAGATCGAGCTGTAAATCGGGAAATACACACAACCGAAGCTTGGATACCCTGAAAGAATCTTGCAGCCGCCTCAACCTAAACTAGTATACTTTCAATAATATCTACATTTAAGAGCAGGATCAAATCGCATGTACCACACGTAAAGGGTATCGAAACTAGTTGCATTCAAGGTGGATGACACTTGGAGAGGGTGCAGCAGTAGGACGGGATGGGGGAAAATGATAGGTAGGGTGCACTAGAAATTGCATTGAGCAGCCGCCACTTTCGGGTTTTCTTTTTAGAAAGCGGCAATCCAATGCAAAAGATATAAACGGCACAGCGCAAGATGCTGCCGGCGAGAAAAATTCACAACTACATAGACTCGGCGATATCAGTTGTGTGTGTGTGTGTGTGTGTGTGTGTGTGTACACGTGCATATCTGCATACAAATGCATGTATGTATGCGCTGTGGGCAATGAAGCGCAGTTATGCGCCAAGCCCTCGCCCTCTTACTCCCTTTCAAATAACTCTTTTTGTTTTGATATTCGTTTTGTGTGTTCGTGAGTACAGTGGCGGGCAAGAGTATATCTACACCAAATAGAGCAAGTCATATGATCCTTCTAGTGCCCTCTGGATATTTAGATGATTGCATTAACTTTTCGCAGTACCCTATATATGTACATATGTATGTTCAAGTGCAATAAAGAGTTGATTAAACTCAGAAACAACAAGAGCATAAATGCATGTACACATGTATGTACGAGTATGCGTGTGTGTAGTGGAAACTTTGCTTCAACGCGAGTTGTTAATTAATTTCAACGAGCTCTGATCGGATCAGCAGAAATAACATAAACATAAGACAGACCAGCCCTTCCTCTCCCTGTACAAATCAGAACAAAAAAGTCCCCTCAACTGTTTTTTATTTGTGTGAGTGTATGAGAAAAGGCGGCTCACAGTGCGCGCCAAAATAGTCGTCACTGCACATTGGTAGATAATTGATAATTTGGATGGAGCAGAATAGCATTTACTATTTTTAAATGTATTGAAAGAAATCAATAATATAAACATAACACCATTGGTTTATTCTGTGCTCAGGCGACACGACCAACATGCAACATGCGACCATTAATGCTTTGCCACCACTGTACCAGCAGGCAGGCAATCTTCCGAGGCTCAGATACGGGGTACGTTTTTTAAAATGGCGGCGCGTCGGCTGCTGTTGCAGCAGCACCCGCAATTATCAATAATGCATTTGAGGAAACCTGCATATCTATGGGTGCGGGCGATAGAAACACTAAACCTCTCGTGCGACAGCTTGCTCCGCGTTTTCCCCTCAAACTTTTACACTCACAAGAAGCAAGCCGCCGCCCGGTACCTGGTTTATACGCGCAAAAAAATTATCTACACCAAGCTTCATATCCTACCGCAACAAAGAAAACTGTCTGCACGGACACCACTCGCAAAGGTCTCCTCTTCCCAAATTTTTAGTATCACTAATGGCACAACTAACCTTTTGTTTTGTTCAATGACGGCCGAAGTTAACTAGACTTGTTATTTATTTATTTATTTATATTTATTTCACGGGCAAAAAATAATTCTTCAAAACACAACCGACGCCGACGCTGACACAAAAAATATACGGTCCGACCCTCGGAAATATACCTAATTTTCAAAATATACCGTAAATATACTGACGAATTCAAGTTATAGTATTCATATTCCTCGTTTTTGATATTCCGTCGGATATTACTAGCTATATAGAACATTTAGCCGTGCCCACATAATTTTATACGATTGATGAATCAATTCTATACATGATTGACCTATTCGAAATACTTGCATTTGTTGGATTTCTATATGATTGATGAAATTGACAGGGAGCGCGCTTGAAAAAAAGTGTGACCGCGGATTTATCGATAAGATATACCTCAAAAATATACCAAAATATACGGTCTCATTTTAAAAATATACCGTGAATATACTGACGAATTGAAGTTCTTTTTACATATTCCTCGTTTTTTATCTTCCGTGGAATATAACTAATTAAATATAACCCTCAGCGCTGCCCACATAATTTTATACGATTAATGAATCAATTTTCTACAAGATTGGATAGTTTTTAATCCTTGCTTTTATTGTATTTATTGTAAAAAAAGGTTTAAACAAAATAGTTCAACAAAAAAAAGTCGCAATGTTGCTGGTATTTGAGGACATGATGCGTGTATAGGCCTTTGTACACCCTATTTCGTTAATTTTATATGAAGATCAAACGTGATAGCCTTCAAGGATGTGGGCGATGCCCACGCCCTAAACGTGTCGGTGGCGGAGCGGTGCATCTACTGGACTGACCAGCAACATCTACTGGTCCGATGCGGTGGCTCGTCTCATCGAGGTCGCCCTCCTGGATGACAGCAGTTGGCGCGTGCTCTTGTGAAAGGGGGTGGAGAAGCCGCGTTCCCTGGTCCTCGAGACGCGTCGCGAGTACATGTACATGGACAGAGTCGCCTCGGACTCCATACGCCGCGCCACAATGGACGGATCCAACCAGCATCCAGCCACCATGGCCGGGAGCTGATATTCGACCAGGAGACGAGACGCCTCTACTGGATGGCAAGAAGCGTCGGATACTGGTTGGCAGCGACACCGATGAGCTCTTCGACGTGCCCTGGGCGCTCGACATGCCGAATGGCTCTTTTAATCTCTACTAGGGGATGGTTCAACGGCTGGGCGCCAAAAGTTCAGTACGAGTTGGCAGCTTTGAAGTAGCTTAGTGTGACCAAAAGGGATGACGTGTTGGGAACTAGTTCCCAAAATTAGTGCATGCGATAATTAAAAAATTTCAAATAATTGAACAAACGGAAAGCTATGGAATTTTTATTGCTTGTGGCTTGAAAGTATCAATTATCTCTTATTGGACCTACTTCTGTAAATTTGTATATGCTACTTATAATCTTTTACTGCGCATTAAGTTAAATCAATAGGGGAAAACAGGTTTGTGACGGCAATACATACATGTGTGTAACCTCCCACACATTGAGGCCATTCAATGCGCTTTACTGGTTCGTTTTCATGCTTTCGCTCATGAACAACTGGCGATTGGAAAACACTTGGACTTCGATTTGCTGCTTTTAATCGCCCGACCCTTGACCGATGGATATGTGCACACCAGATATACTATAAATAGATCATCAGAGTGACTGAATTAATAGTCAGTGGTAAAGGTTAGCGCGGCAAAATCTATATAGTACATAATATAATGCCGAATATTTTTAATCGCAGACAGCAGAAGCAGCAGGCGTCAACGACAATCAGATAACGATTTGTTCCAACTAATATAAATCATATTTTCTAAACGTCAAAGCTAGTGAAATGGCAACGGATCGATTGGATGTCATAATTTTCGGCGCCAGCGGCTTCACTGGGAAGTATACGGTTTTCGAAGCCGTCACCGTGCTTAACGGCCTGCGATGGGGCATCGCCGGACGGAACCGGGAGAAGCTGGAGTCTGTGCTGAAACAAATGGGGGCCAAGAGCAAGAAAGATCTGTCGCAGACGCCCATCTTCATAGCAGATATCAACGACGAGACCTCTCTGCTGGAAATGGCCAAGCGGTGTCGCATTGTCGTTAACACAGCGGGTCCTTATCGATTCCATGGCGAGAAGGTGGTCAACGCCTGCATCGAAGCAGGTACGCATCACGTGGACGTGAGCGGGGAACCGCAGTACATGGAAACGATGCAGCTGAAGTACGATAAGCGCGCCAAGGAACGTGGAGTGTATGTGGTCAGTGCCTGCGGCTTTGACTCGATACCAGCTGACATGGGCGTCGTCTTTGTGGAGAAGAACTTCGACGGCGTGGTCAATTCGGTGGAAACATTTTTGGAAAGTGGCGTCAAGGAGGGCACCGGTCCCGGCGCCCGTGCTGGTCTCAACTATGGAACCTGGGAGAGTGCCGTCTATGGGCTGGCACATTCGGACGAGCTGCGTGGCATACGGCAGAAGCTGTTCCCCCAGCGCTTGCCCAAGTTCTATCCGCTGCTGAAGCATCGTCCGTTGATCTTCCGCTCCACAGAAGTTGATAAGGTATGTCTGCCTTTCCCCGGCTCCGATCGGTCGGTGGTGATGCGCTCGCAGCGTTTCCTCTACGACCAGGACAAGAAGCGACCCGTACAGATGCACGCTTATGTGGGATTTCCCTCTTGGATAGCTGCCGCCGCCGTTGTTCTGTTTGCCAGCATTTTTGGATTGATGTCGAAATTCCAAATTGGACGCAATTTGCTGCTCAAGTATCCGGGCATCTTCTCGGGAGGCCTGGCCTCTCGCGAGGGTCCCAGCGAGGAGTCCATGGAGCGCACCTACTTTAAGATGACCTTCAAGGCAATTGGCTGGCCCCAGGCTGATCGTCTGGCCGAGAGCACGGACCAGTATACCGTACCGCCCACTAAGACATTGATGGTGCGCGTCTCTGGCATGAATCCGGGCTATGGAGCGACATGTGTGGCGCTGCTTTCGACCGCTTTAACCATCCTACGGGAAAGCGACAAGATGCCCAATAACGGCGGTGTCTTGGCCCCGGCTGCCGCTTTCTCCAAGACTAGTCTCATTAGTGAACTGGAGAAGCACGAGCATGGCATGAAATTCGAGATCCTGGCCAACAAGTGAACGGATCCCATAAAATGATGCAGTTGCTTAGGCTAACTCTTCTGGCTATTCCACTGTTTGTTTATTTTTTAATCACCCATTCAAGTTTGTAGCACAAACATTAGACCTTATTAACCTACCCCACACTTCACAAATGTTATCTTTTAGGCCACAGATCGGATAAATAAATGCAAATTTCCAATTCCCAATAGTGTCCTGAGACCTGCGGCTACTTATCCTTGTCCTCCAGCTGTTTCCGTAAACGGGCCTGTGCCTCCACGGGCCAATCCTTGAGCTCGGCCTTTCCACAGGGCAGACAAACGGTCCTTGTGTAGTAGAAGCTACAGGCACCATCTTTGCACACCACCTTCGAGCAGCTGCTGCATTTGGAGCCCATCGCAATGTAGTACTCGGGCTTGGACTGCCAGCGAGGCGGTGGCGGCTGGAAGGGATCGCGCATTACGTAGGTGTCCTCGAGGTATTTAATGCCAAGCGCAAAGGGCGGCTGGCGTCCAAAGTAGTGTACGAGCTCGTGCATGTCGCAGGCAGAGCAGCGGAAGTCGATCTTGGCAATGCGCTCGTCCTCCTCCAGCGGTTCGAGCTTATCTTGTGGCTGATCCTCTTCGGGCAGCTGCAGTCGGGCTATTTCAGCAGACTCATCATTCAATACGAGATCCTCATCGGCTAGATCATTGTCTATGCTGAGGCTGACGCTGCTGGTGCTGGGCTGGTCGGCCTCCATTATATTCTGACCCTGCAAGAGAACGAACGTAGACAAAGAAACTGGGAAGCTTTGACAGTAAGGAAGGAGCATGATCTTTACTAGAATAAATAACACTTAAGTCTAAAAACAATTAAACGCATTCAGCGTGTATTGGTCAATCTGTGAAGGCCTGGCGACGCTTGCTTGGCAAGTCACTGGGCCACCAATCGGGACGTTCGGCAAAGCAGCGCTCGCCATCGACCACCAGCTCCTGGTGACCGTTGAGCACCTGCTCAATGCGCAGCAGGGCGACGCCGTGGTTATGTGCATGTCCAAAGACGCGGCCAAGATTGGCCCCAGCTATAGACTGGACCGTCTGATTGGCCCCCAATGGAGCCGTCAGACGTATGGGCATATAGCGTTTACGAATCACACCCGAGTGATGAATGCGGGCGGTGAGCTCCTGGCCCACATAGCATCCCTTGTTGAAACTGACGCCGTTGAGAAAGTCTGCGTTTGCCTCCAGAGGAAAACACTTGCCAGGCGGCAGCTCCTCACTGCCCTCGCCCACACCCTGCTTGTAGCGCAGCAGTTGATAGTTTCTCTCTGATGATGGGGGCGTCACAATCATCTCCTTAGCGCGCAATAAGCCATTGAAGTCTGTGGGAGCTAAAATGCGAGTGCCCAGCGTTGGAAGTCTGGGATCGGATGAGATAAACAATTCCCATTCTTTGTTACGTTGCAACTTTTCGCCCACTTGCTCGCCACATTTCTCGGTATTGAAGAGGACCCAGGGCACGTACTCATCATCTATCGAATCCACGTCGATCTTCCTGCGGACGCGAAAGGTGCGCAAATGGCGTCGGAACTCTTCTGAAGCTTCTCGGTCGCACTCCAGAAGATACGTATCCGGGCTTTCTGTACGATATACGATCGTGTCGTATAGAACACGACCCCCTTTGTTCAGGAACATGGCGTATATGGACGACGGGCCATCCGGTCGCTGTAGGTGGGACACATCGTTGGTGACCAGGCCTTGCAAAAACGGGAGCACCTCGGGCCCATGGACGCGAATCAGCTCACGGTGGGCCAATTTTTCCAGTGTGTAAGTTGGCTTCTGCTCAGGCCGGATGTCGGCAAAGTTACGCATGCAACATCCAGTCAGACGTAGGAACTTGAAATTTTTGCATATGTTCATGCTGCAAATGAGTGCGGGTACTGTTCCGGCTATCCATTACAGGCAAATTCGATCTACACTCACCTTGATTTGATTTGTAAAACTCCAATTTACCGACAAACTAACTATGAATTTCTTAAATATTTCTGCTTCAACAGCTGTTCTTGTGAAAAACTCTATTCCCTAACGGATAGCTCAGTGCTGCTCTTGATGTATATCGCACAAAAATATTTATATTAATAGTTGGCCAATAAACCGATATGTACATCGGTATACATTTCACATCTCTAATTGTTCTATTTGTTGTTAAAAATCACCTGAAATAAATTGTAAATTAAATATAATAATGTGTTTTCACGGTAGTCATTTATAGCAGAGATCGAATCGTGGATGCGATGCAAGCAGGTCAGCCAGACAAGCTGTCAGAAACTACTCTGCAATCACGCCAACACCACAACAAAGAACATAACCAGCAGAAAGCGAATTCCAATTTAAAGATGTCTACAGAGGAACATGTGTGGCGAGCCCATATTGTTAAATGCTTGCGGGAACGCAATCGTAAGGAATGTGAAAATTTCAAGGAAATAATTGAACAAAGTAAGGCACGGAGCAGAGCGGCTGGTGCCGAACACTGAGGCTCTTCGACTCCACACACATGTACATATATATGAATGGATATTTGATAACATCTTAACATTTCAGACAACCGACTTATTGACCATGTCGCACAACTAAAATCGGATAATCTGAAGTTATCCGTTGAAAATGAACAGCTACGTAGTGCTGTGTCAACAGGTGGCAGTGGCACCGGCGTCCAAGGGGCGGCCGTAGCTACTCTAGAAAAGAAACTGCTAAGTCAACAAGAAGAGCTCATAGAACTTCACAAAAGGAAGGGGGAAAACTCTCAGTTGATAGTTGACCTAAATATGAAAGTGGAGCAACAACGATTAACAATGTCCGAAAAGGAACACAGGTATCATTATATATACATATATATCAACTACTATTGCATAATTTAATGATCGTTTAACTTTTCCAGCCTTGCTGAGGAGCAAACGAACAACAATCGATTACGGGCAGAGGTCCATTTGCTTCATTCGAGTTTAGAAGAACTCAAGAAACTGAACAATACTCTGCTAGATGAGCATACAGCGCTTCAGTTGGCGTTTAGCTCACTTGAGGACAAAATGCGAGGCATACAAGTAAGTTTTTATTGTATTGTGTTTTGAAATGAACACGATCACTAAAGCATAGTGTTAGTTGACTTCCACATCTAAAATACTAAACCACAAATTATAAACTAAGAGTTATCTAAGGATACCGAGAATTTAAATTTTATGTGACTAGCAAATTGTTTTATTGGACTTGGTCTATCTAGCAGAAAATTAATTGGAAAGTGAGCGAGAAAAAACACTGAAATTTGCAGACCCAATTTAGCAAAAATAAAGAGAACTGCTTCAAACGAAGCGAATATCGAATCCCATCGAATCGATTTGGTTGGGAGCTCATGCCGGGCTCTGGCATTTGGAATAAAAAATAAAACAAATGCATAATAATAATTATCGGTTAATTTTATATAGATAATTAATTGAAGCCTCAATAAGGTATATGGTATACCCATATTCCAAAAAATACACATATGTATAAATAGTATGGATAGTAGTGCCTTTATTATTCCTCAGTATCATTTGAGGGCTTATCAGGCAAAACCGTCCTCGGGCGAGCACAAATATTTTCATAATTAGCTGCAGTAGTCAGCAGCTGTCTCGAATCTAAGAATAATCTAGTTTCAATCGTTTTCGGATTAATTCACAGGATGAAAATCGTTGCTTAGTGGAACGTCTAATGCGTCATAAGTCAAAGGATGCCGACAAACTGAATGAGGAAAATGAAAGCATTATAAGGTATGCATTTTAACATTGAATTCGAGTCATTAACTATTATCACTTTCACCATAAATTCACCATAACGATTATCCGTTATTGCTGGAATCAATACATACATTGACGGGTTACGATAAGTATGTACAGCCACCAGACCATATGTTTGTTCGTCCAGCTTATCTGTTGCTTGTATGTTTACGGGACAATCGGATCATATATTTTTAGTAACTTGTCGTTACGTTTTTAATTGCTGATTCGCTGAGAAGAGCAAACCATTTAGATGAACATTTTCAATAGCATCATTCATTCTGATTTGCTCTTAAATTTGTTTGGTTCAATATGTATAAATGTATAACCGTTTTTAAAAATATCTAGAAAAAGACTGCCGTCAATTTTCAGGAAACGTTCGGCTAAACTCAAACGTGACCTCGAAGACGCTGTTCGTGAACCAAGCAATAGTGCACCTACGTCTGGTAACCGTAACTCCACAAGTCCTGCCCAATTTGTTGGTGGTGGCATGATAACCGACGACGACTTTGACGAGGCGACTATAAATGGCGCCATGGAAGCCATAGGTATTGATGATACTGAATATTTTAACGCTCGTTTTACAGCGGGCGAACTTAGACCATCGCTAGACGCTCTTAAAGCGTCAGGCTATTTAGGCCAAGCAAATCCAACAAAGATACTTATGAAGTTCGAGGCACATGAGAACGAGTCGCATGCAGTACGTTGGAGTCCCGTGGAGCGCATGGTAGCTACAGGCGGCGCTGATCGAAAAGTCAAGCTGTGGGATATTGGCAAAAGTAAGTAGTAAACGTACATATTGTAGATATAATGGATGTGCATACCCTACCCTACCAGTTTCCTCGTGGTCGGTCACCCCTTCCTTTATTTGTAGATAACTTAGATAACATACGACTATGTACTATGGTTGTCTGTGCTCCCAGATAATAAAATTGATATTGATTCTGAAATCTACATATACTCCAAACTGAGCTGAAATTATACTTAATCCTTAATATACATTTAAATATTGTTAATTTTTTGCGTATGTTTACATATGCGAACGTATTTTTAGCCATTCATGAAAGGACTCTGGCTCTAAGATATCAAAATATATTGTTAAAATTTGCTTGTTTTAAAGTAAAATAAAATTATGTATTACAGATTCAACAGAGCCACGTGCAGTTTTGAGCGGGAGCAGCGCTGGCATCAACTCTGTCGACTTTGATTCCACCGGCGCGTATATATTGGGAACTTCAAACGATTACGGCGCTAGAGTGTGGACGGTGATGGATAATCGGTTAAGGGTGAGTCAAAGCATTTGATTCTAGACTCAAGAATGTATACACATGTATGTTGCCATTTGTTATTAAATATTTGCATTAAGTCCCTCTGGCCGGAATTTTGCACAGAACCTAATGCTGCACGCAGTAGTACAGTAGAACCTATTGTATAAGTAGTAGGAACCACTAAGATTCAATCATTACAGCATATATTATGTACCTGCATAGAAATGATTGGTTTAAATATAAGTCTTTGAAAGATTAAATTGAAAAGCATCTGCGACATTTTTATCAATATTAACGTTGAAATTGATGTTATGATTGAATGCTCTGTTCAGCCTGTCTATGGTAATGACAGCAAGAATAAGAGAATTGTTGGAGATCTTACCCTAGAGACTTTGTCACCCCATCGAGAGGCCGAAGACTATTTCAGACGCTGTCTTTCTGTGGTGCTCTGTATAATATTTTGTTTCATTTGTTAATCGTCTAACTGTCTGTCTTGTTCTTTTACTTACTCTGAAAGCACACGTTGACGGGTCATAGTGGCAAAGTAATGGCCGCCAAATATGTCCAGGAGCCCATTAAAGTGGTAACCGGAAGTCATGATCGTACCTTGAAGATTTGGGATTTGCGGAGCATTGCTTGTATAGAGACCAAATTCGCTGGATCAAGCTGCAATGATCTCGTCACAACAGACAGCCTCGGTTCAACGATTATTAGTGGGCACTACGATAAGAAAATCCGTTTCTGGGATATACGTACTGAAAAACAGGCTGATGATGTCTTAATGCCGGCCAAAATCACGTCCCTAGACTTATCAAAGGGTGAGTAGTCATTAAAACAATAAACCAATATCCCAAAAAAATACATTACAATCGTATTCTACAGATTGCAATTACCTCATATGTTCAGTGAGAGACGATACAATAAAGTTATTAGACCTACGCAAGAACCAAGTTATATCCACTTTCACGTAAGTTCCTAGTTCGTAGACTCTGAACAAATGAAAACCAAAAAATAATATTTTGTCGTGTTGCATCTTTCGGCAGAAACGAACACTTTAAAATCAGCTGTGATTTTGCTCGGGCTTCCTTTAACTCGAATGGCCTAAAAATTGCCTGCGGATCGGCGGATGGTGCAATATATATTTGGAATGTTAATGGCTTTTTAGAAACTACTCTGAAAGGGCATAGGTTCGTATATGTTTCGTTAAAAGATTCGAATTTTTAGATATATGTCTCAAAGAAAATTGATAATAATTTTAATTAACATATATATGTATGTACATTCTCGTACAAATAGTATGTATATGTACATATATGTAACTACAAACATTATTGTATATGTTTTGATTAGATTTAACAGACAACCAACCAGATATACAAAAATTCGGAATTTCTTTAATATTTAAATTTTGTTAAAATGAAATTCGAAACATTTTCCATTGAGTTATATATCTTTGATTTTTGCTTAATTCTAACTAAAAATAGTTTCGGTATCGGTTTATTCCACAGCACAGCGGTAAATGCGGTTAGCTGGAGCCCCAACCACAATGAACTGGCTTCCGTAGGAAAGAGCAAACGGTGCATAATATATTCGGATTCTTAGCCCTCCCTTTTATTGCCTTAGATGCCAATCAGTTATGTGAATACTGATATGCTAATATAGCTGTCATAGCTGTTCTATGTACATAAATAGCAGCCATTCTGCTGTAAATAATAAATTTGGTCGGCTATTGGGAAAGGTAAATTCCATGCTGACCTTTTCATTTTTAATTATATTTATATGGAAAAATAGTCTAACTGTATATCAAATATATTTATTTAAGAACCTTTTTTTCTAATATTTAAATAAAATGTATGTATATATTGGTTTGATTATTTGGCCAAAATTGACGCAAACTATTATGCGAGGACTGCCTTTTACATATTCCTAAAAAAACCGGCGTAGGTAAGTAACCGTCTTTTGAACACAGTATCGTCTAATCAATCGACGAGACAAGAGACAAAAAATCGCCTCCCATTCTTTAATTTAGTGGGAAAGAAAAAAAAACAATAATTTCAATTCGAATAGATTCATTTCTTTAGAGATTTAAGGTTAAAAAAAAAACGTCCATGTATCCACTTTTGCACATGTCAAATTTTTTACTTAAATATTTTTTTTTTTAAATATTGTTTCCAAAGGGCCTTAGCTTTTATCATATTCCGAAAAAGTTTTAGCATACTCTCGACAAATTATGGTATGTTCTTGCATGGTATCATGCGCCACTCCAATCCCTTTGGTGCAGACTCGTACTTTCCAATGTTTTTTAAGAAGAGCCCATCGATGTTCAATGGGATTAAGATCTGGGCTATTGAGCCGACCACTGGATTAAATGAAAACTCGAATTATTGGGACGATTTTTCACGAATTTAGCCGTGCGCTTCGGGTTACCGTCTTGCTAGAAAGTGATCTCGGGTATGGGGTAGACCACATTCTATAAGATTTTAAAAATTGATTTCCAAAATATGAAGATAAAATCCTTTCTTCATTATTCCATCCATTTTAACCAACTGGACTATACGTACTCGTATAGTAATAAAAAGCGAAGAAAAAAGTTATTAGTTTGAACAATATTTAATTGTCATTTTATATTCCGCGTAACGTAAAAAAGTCTTGTAAGAAATTGTACAATATTTTAGGGATTGTTCCGGTGGTTTTGTTTTTTCGTAATTGAGTCAAATTAAAAATGGAAAAGGTACAACCCTTTCAATTAGATTGTCACTAATTTAAAACTAAAGACTTAGGCTAGTTTTACATTAAGTTTTCGGCTTTGGTGCAATCTTCTTGGCCATCGCATGTAGTTGGTCGTTGCTCTTCTTCTTTGGTTTCTTGGCCTTTTTGATACCATCAACTTTGACGCCCCGATACTCTGATTTCTTTTTGCTGCCAGCCGCAGTCTTGTCGCCCAGCGCTGCTGTTGGCTTGCCGTTCTGCTTGTATTGCTTTTTATCCAGACGCTTCTTGGCACCCACCGAGTTCTGTTTGGTCTTTGATTTCAATGGTGGACCTGATTTCGCAGCAGCAGCGTCGCGCACCCGTTTGGCGCCCAACTTCTTGACTAAATAGCGTTCCACGTTTATGGGTCTATCGTCGAGCAGTGTCTGGTTGAGTTCCAGGGCCAGGCCCACGGCGTCGGGCGTCTTAAAGCACACATATGCCACGCCCTTGCAGCCCTTTTCGCCTTCCTGTAAGCAGCGGATATATTCGATTTCGCCACAGCTGGAGAATATTTCACGAAGCTTTTCTTCCGTGGCCGCTGAAACAAGAAACTTTAATGTAATATAAACGAAATCAAGGATTTATAAATCGCTTACAATATTTCAGGCTACCGACAAAGATGGTGCGCTTGGCATCGGCATCTTTGGGCCCTTTATCATCTCCACTTTCCGACTTTGCGGCTGGGGTTACACGCAAGTGATTCTCCTTGAATTCTGTGCCATTCAATGCCAGCGCCCTTTCAGCAATCTCGGCGCTATCGAGCACTACGTAGGCGTTGAGGGAGCCCGCCCCCTTACGCTGCTTGTGCTTGAACAATTGTTTGCCACCAGCTGTGCGAAGGCGTATGGACTTGACGTTGCCATAAGGCTTTAGAAGACGCACCAACTGGACGCGTTTTGTGTTGATGGGAAGATTGCCAACAAAAACGGTAGCAGCTTCTTGGGCAGGATCCCGCTCCCATTTGGCAGCACCTGTTTGTGATCAAGGAAAGGACTCTGGTAAAAAGATACTGAAATTTATATTGAATTCGAATTACCTTCATCCTTATTGTTGGCCTTGGATTTCTTGCTGGCCTTTTTTTGCTGTTTAGTCTCTTGTTTAACGACTGTATTGGTGGTCAATTTCTCAGTTTCTTCTTCAGACTCTTTTTCCACAGAATTGATTTCTTTCTTGACCTCCGTCTCTGTTGGCCCTGCGGAAGCTTTTAATAACTTCTGCTGCTGTTTTCTTAGCTTCTGGCCTTCCTTTTTGGCCCGCTTTTTCTCGATTTTGGCCAAATCTGCTACTGTCAACTTCTTGGGACTCTCATTGTCCACGGCCTTATTCACCGCGGCCTTCTCTGTCTTCAGTTGCTTTGGTTTTTTTCCTTTCTTTTTGATTAACTTGCTCTCCTGGGAAACAACAGGTTGTTTTTTCAACGGTTTTAATTCACCTTGCACAGTTTCGGTTTGTCTTGGCGTTTTCATTTTGATACTCTTCGTTTCACGTGTTGTGCTAGTTGGGGATGTGGATATATCAAAATATAACCATGAGGCCTATCGAACGTATATAGATATATTCAAACGATAGTTCCGCAGTCACTGAAGATGTTGTTATTGTCATCCCTATTGTATTAATTTGTTGCATGGTTTTAGTTGTTTTTGCTGCTGTGCTGGTGTTTCGTTTCTTTTGCCGAAAACAATGAAAATATACAAGCAGAAGCTGCGCGACGCTTGGCTGCAAATGCCCGAATTCCGGCCATGGTTGCGCCGTGATCCGGAAGACTCGTATCGGGCGCATTGTCGATTCTGCAAGTGTGGCGTGAATACCAAAATATGCGACTTACGCGCCCATGCACGAACCATGAAGCATAGGAAAAGGGACTCGGAAGCCGTTGTGGAAACCAAGTCAAATCTTATGGTGAGCATTGGGTCTACGTCGTCGAAATCGCACCTACATTAATATACAATATTCACATCTAGACCGACAGTGAAGATGCAATCGAGATTTCAATTTGCCACAACAACATCAACGTTGTACAGCCAACAAAAGTTAAATCGAAATGCCCAGCTGTGAAACGCGAAAAAATCCGCAAAGTTGTAAAGGAGGAAAAATCACAGCCTATTGACTACGAGCAGATACTTCAAAATCTGGCCCTTTATGAGCCGGAACAGGTGATGTTTTCCACTTGTCCGCTGACGGGACCAGAGGAGCATAACCCTGAAGAAGACATCGAAGCGGTAGCCACTACAGATGCTTTAATTGATGAGGATATGATCAACAAGGCTGTGGCCAACGCAATAAATAACCAAAAGGATACTTCACAGATTTTTGGAGACTTTGTGGCCGATCGACTGCGTCAATTAAGTATTGATGCGTCCGAGTTTGCTAAGGATAAGATTTTGAAAGCTATTTTAGAAGCTGCTTCCATCGACAGAACAGTTAGCTATAATTAAGATGACTAGTTTAGTTAATTGTACAAATTTGTTTAAAAGAAATAAAATAAAATATAAAAATAGTTTTTTCTATTTTCCTTTGAACGTTGCTCACCCTGGCGTACAAATAATTGAGCAGTGTTGCACAATTGCTATAAAAAAACCGATAGTATCGATGGATTACCAGCTCTACAACGCGCCGACAAAATGTAAGTGAATTGAAATAACAATAAATTAAATGTATTCCTGCGAAACTAGTAAAAAAAAAATATGTGAATAATCAATCATGGGTAAATTTGTGACCGACTCCGCTTCCAGGAAACAGTGGCTATACTGGTGTCGTCTTTGCGCCAAAAACGACGCCGAGATCAAGGTGCGTAACAATGAAGGCGATGAGGAAGTTGTAAGGATAATTAGCAAATGCTTTGATGTGGAGGTGAGTACAAAACAAAGTGCAGGCAAAGAATCCCTGGTTAATTTCCTGCTTTAGATGACGTTGGAGGAACCGGAACTGGGCAGCATGCTGTGTACCGAATGCTTCTCCATGGTCGGCCAGCTCATTAGCTTCTCCGAAAATGTTAACAAGGTACAGGCAATCTTTGAGTTATTGCGACACACGGAAACAACTGAGACGCTCAATGTGTTTGAGCTGCGTCGGCAGTACGGACTATCCGTCGAGTACAAAACAGAATGTGACACCGACGTTGAGGATGCCACTGATACCTTCGCCGGGGGAGAGAGCCTGGACTATGAGCAGTTCGAAGAGAAGGTGCCTGCGGAAGAGCTTATTGCTACAGATAATGAAACTCATACTGTGTCGCCAGTCAAAAAAAAACGAGGTCGTCCCAAAGGTACTACCAAGAAGACGTTGCCAACAAATACAAACACTCTATTGGCAAAACATACTACCCGCACAGATCCAAAACGCTTCATTAAAGTCGAACCAGACACCCTAAGTGATGATTCTCCCTTACCTGATTACGGGAGCTGTGATACTCAGATGGAGAAGAAAAGTCCCCCAGCTGCGGAGAACACCTGTTCAATTTGCGAAAAGACGCTTACGTCTGCCGCTTCTTTGAGGCGTCACAAAATGGAGGTCCACTTTAACCTAAAACGCTTCATTTGCGATGTTTGCGGAAAGGGGCTGACAACATACACGGCTCTCGTCGAGCACAAGCTCGTGCACACTGACTACTGCCCCTGCATTTGTCACGTCTGCAATGCGGCGTTCAAAAACAAGGCCCGACTCCGGGTAAGTAAATACAGCACCATCGATACTTGATATAACCCTAATTAGTTTCCCTGATAGGTCCACTTGCAAACCCATGGTGCCCCAAGCTTTGAGTGCAATGTATGTGGAAAGAAACTACAGACGCGAGCAATCTTAAACAAGCACAAGTATGTGCATACGGATGAGCGCCGCTTCCGCTGTGATATTTGCGGTCTCGGCTCTAAGAACTCGACGGCTATGAAGATACATCTATTGAGCCACACGGGACTGCGACCATATGTGTGCAAGTACTGCGGGAAGGCTTTTGCCAGCAACACAAATTGTCGCGCCCACAAGCTTAAGAAGCATCCTCGCGAGGCGTCGATGGAGGATGAAAAGGAATCTTCACGAATACCTGTCCCCACGCTGGATGAGCTGCGAGCCATGTAATGATGAGATATGAAATTTGACATGTTGATTGATTTACTGATTTGATTTCTGTATTTTTTTGTGCAGAACCCGAGAAATGGCAAAAGCAAAAAAGGAGGCAGAGCAAGCAGCGGAAGCTCAGGAGGCAGCAGAGGTCGCAGAAGAGGCAGCGGCAGAAGAGCTAGGACTAATTTCAGAGTGACAGAAACAATATATTTTGCTTGTTTTATGGGTCTATAACATAAAATCTGATCGAGTTCATATTGACATAAACAATCAGCACCGCGGCCGAGGAAATGATGTGCTTGGCATCCTTGGAGCCCAGCTGGCGCTGCTGGTTGGTTTTGATATTATGTTTAATATTGCTCGATAGCCAGGACCCGCTCCACTGATCATAAAATTTTATTCGACAAATTAATGCATTTTTTAAAAGATTTATCAAGCACTCATTTTCAAGTGATTATTTAAGAGCAGGATCAAGCAAATGGCTTGCGCCTACGTATATATTCCCCAAAAAAATGTGGACACGGAAGGTTTGCATCGAACTCCTGGTCCTCCTCCCTTACGCAGCAAGCTGTTCTCCGCTGCCCCGGCAAACGGCAGCCCTCAAATGCTTAAACCTAATTTACCCGATTCTTTCTCCAGGGTAGTCCTTATACCTAAGAAATATCCTTTAATGGAAAAAATTTAAGGGGGCGTATGCTCCTTGACACCCCTCTTCACATCGATGGGGGGAGGGCATTAACTGTGGTGGCCCGGTTTCGAGTGATCTCAATTCTGAAGCTGCATCTCCAGTAGTTGAATTCCCAATGGGGACGTGGGATCGCGTATGTACACCGTTACTTTGGCGATTAGGCGACGAATAACTGTCGGCCGGGAGTATTGGTCCGCCAGTCTGGTGGAGCCTCTGCCCAGCCAGCCTGATCCTGAACCGCTGCTTTCCTTGGCAGAAGCTCATCTGCTTCTTCGACCATCTGCGGAAGGCTGCATAGTGGTTCCAATGGTCCGTCCTCGTCGGCGAGATGTGGTTGCTCCGCTTCGTGGACTTCGTGCCTCCCTAAGATGTAAACCTCGCACTTTGCAGCGGCGTTCGCAAATGGTGCTATCTGATAGTCCATTGGGCGCTGGATTCGAGGTCACCACACATCACCAACGTCCGTTGGCGGACGAATGATCGCGTATCCCCAGTGTCGAGGGTAGCTGATAATGGTACCCCTTCGACGGTCAATAGCCCGGCGATCCTACTTCCTTTCTATACTGTGTGGTTAGTGGTTGAGAGCAGTAGGAAATACTGCGGTAGGAATATTTTAAATCTTGTGCCAGGCTACACAGAATAAAACGAAATAAACTTCTTGTGGGGAAATATCGGCCGACCACCGACATCAACTAATAAAAATACCAACTCAGCAAAGGCGTTCTTGGTATTTTTTCCCGAGCTTTTTCAGTTACGCGAGATGGTCACCTTAAACAAACATGCTAATTTAATTGAACAAAAAGTAAACAAAAGCAATCTCCTGGAGATACCGCAACTGGATTAGCTATCTGGGGATCATATGATATGATGAAATGATGGCGGATAGCCACTGGCTGAATTGGTGCCGTCTGTGTGCCAAGGACGATGTGCGCGGCAATGTGAAAGTTTATACGAATGAGAAAGGTCAGGGAACCTGGGACAATGTCATGATTATGGCCATCCGCAGATATTTCGAGGTGCATGTAAGTTTCTGTCAGCGAATAAAGCCAGAGATAATACGACTTTTGTTCCGTAGATGCGACTGGAGGATGAGCTAAGCAGCGTCCTTTGCACAGAGTGCTACACCCTGATAAGTGAACTAATCGATTTTGCTGAGCATGTCACCAAGGTGCAGGCCATCTTTGAGGTTCTGCGCCGCACGGAGACCGAGCAGAATAAACAGCTGGATGTATTAGCTCTCAGACAGCAGTATGGACTCTGCGAGGCCGACTGGTCGCACATTATCAAGCCGATGCCAGTGCCAGAGACCGAGCCCAGTCCTGCCAAACCAATAGAACTGGAAACTGAAGTTTCCGTGGAAGATCTCATTTATCAAGACCACGTAGAGGTATTAAATGAATCTGGAAGCCTACCCAAGCAAGCGAAGAGAATACAGGGAGCGGAGGAAAGCCAGAAACAACAATTTAATAACACTCCATCCGGCAACAAGCAGGAATTTGTAGATTTAAGTCCATTTTTTCAGGGCGAGAAGCTATTGAAGAACAACATGGATGCCATCATAAATGATTTGGAAGCAGAAGATGTTCTAATTGCTGAACCGGACGTCATAAAACGACATCATGAGCGGATTGATTCGAGTTTGGAAGCACCTTGTGGTGCAGACGACGAAGATATCAAGCCGGATGTGTCTGTCAACTATGATGATGATCAAGAATTTCTACACGAACAACCTAGTCCCGCGACACTCGCGATTGAACCACCAATAAGTGCATCTCCAACTGATGAAAACTCTCGTACGGACAACGACGAGACGAAAAGTAAACCTCTCAGGTTGGAACATCCCAGCAAACGCTGTCGTATGGAATGCAAGAGATGCGGCAAAACTTACAGGAATCGTGCCTCCTACGAGAAGCATATCGATCAAGAAGAGTGCCAGAGAATCGTTCGCAAGGTGAAGATGGATAAGAACACGAGCTGCGACCTCTGCCATAAGACACTCTCGTCGGTATCGGCCCTGAGGCTGCACAAGGAGGGTATGCACGAAAACGTCAAGCCATTCGTGTGCGACAGTTGTGGCAAGCAGCTAAAGACATTAACAGCGTTAAATGAACACAAGCTGGTCCATACAGAGAGTCGTCCTTTTGAGTGCCCCGTATGCAAGGCGGGTTTCAAGAATCGGGCTCGTCTGAAGGTTCACTGTCAGATCCACGAGGATCCTAGCTTCATATGTAATATTTGCGGAAAGAAGCTGCAAACGCGACGCACCTGGAACATGCACAAGGTGGTTCATAAGGAGGAGCGTAACTTGAAATGTGAGGTCTGCGGAGCCCTCTTCAAACGGTCAAAGACTCTGAAGACGCATTTGCTTAGCCACACGGGTCTAAGACCCTATATCTGTAACTATTGCGGAAAAACATTTGCCTGCAATGCCAATTGTCGTTCCCACAAGCTGAAAAAACATTCGCAGGAGATCCAACAGGGCGATCGGGAGGGCATGCCATCTCGTTTGAGTGTTCCCACTTTGGAAGAGCTGCGTGTCATGTAAGTTATGGTTAAGTTATGGGACGGTATGGGCACAGTGAATATATTAACTAATAAATTAAAATATTTACAGAACCCAGAAACTTCCAAAAGACGAAAAGCAGCCATGAAGAAACAAAAATTAAGTCTAATTCCGAATAAATACAAGTGTTCTATTTTTGGGCGTTGAAAAAAGTGATTCTAGATTTAATATTTAATATATCTCTAACTAAATTTAATTGCAGGCACTATAATCAACTGATTCCGTTCAGATCATTCCAAATCTGCCACTTCTGCATCTCCAATTCGTACAGGTTGCGTATGCGGTATGACCGATTTCTTATTAACGTCTCTGGACAATGCCTTGCGCATATCGTGTGCATCCTCGTCCTGATCGCCCGCGTAGTAGTCGAGTATGGTGCGGTATATGATGTAGCCGAGGTTCGTGTACATTTTGATGGCCACCTCGTTGCTCTTGCGCACGAACAGATCCACAAAGTAGGCCCGTTTCCTAGGAAGACAATGCAGTTGAATGATTTGATCTCTTATCCCTGCTGCGGGACCAAGGCCCAGTAACTACTTCTCCGATATGTCTTCCAAGAAGTTCATCAGCAGTGCAGCTAGACCGAGCCGTCTGTAGTCGGGCGACACAGTTAGAGCCGTCACATGGCCGTGCCAGTTTTCCATGCGTCCCTCCACTTTGCCCATAATGTAGCCCATAATTTGGCCACTGGGCGATTCGGCAAGCTGAAAGTACTCCGGCCACTTGGCCAAGTACTGTGTGTAGAAGGACATTCCGTATGTTTCCGTAAGTGGGTCCAAGTTGACATTGTTGAATTTAAAAAGATCGTCGAAAGTGAAAGGCCGCAATGTAGTCATTTTGTTGATTTATCAGATATCCTTCCGCATCGTATTCATATATACATATGTATGTATGTCGTGTAGTTGTATCGATGGTAATCGACTATCGAAAACGACAACTATACATATGTATGTACATATATGTACATATATTAAATCGCGAAAAAATTACCACCACGATATTTCACAACAAAACAAAAGATAAAAATGGACGTACAATTTGATAGCGAGAGCTATTGGAACAGATCCTCGCGAGCCGCTTTCAGCTTCGATGATGAGGACGAGGTGGATATCGTGAGCACAGAGCTGCCTAGCAACAAGTGGGAGAACAATGGAATCTTTAGCGACGATACCATTTCCGAGGCGAGTTTTGAAAACAGCCCCGCCTTGAATCATCTCTCCATCAAAGCCATTCTGAGTGAGGAGGCGTTAAAGCTAGTACTTCAAGAGCAGAACCTTGACGAGCGCGTCATCCACAAGGGCGTCTCACCCGACGAGGAGCTAAAGCTGTTGCGTCGACAAATCCAGAGCACTCTATACAGTCCCGATCTGGACGCCACGGCGCAAAAGTTGCTGCAGGGAAAGACGGCACCATTGGAGATGTTCAGGTCCCTGCATGAGAAGCAGCAACTGTTGGATACGCTTCTCAGCAATGGTGGAGGCCATGCGGTAGTCACTGTGCTGCTCTTCCTTAAACGCACATTGAACGCGGCGCAATTCTACGCTATTCTGAAGCAACGACCAAAGGCTTTGGAACAGTACCTCAGTTATTTGCGCGAAAGTGGCGACGTGAGCAGCCACATTGATCTGCTGCAACGCTTTGGCCGCCACCAGGAGGCAGCCCTCAAACAGTTTCAAGCGGCACTGGCCAGCGAAGACGCCCCTTCGCGAAAGCAACATCTTCAGCGCCTGGTAGATGCGTATGCCAATGCAGGTGTGGGCATTGTTCCACTGTACGAGCAAGTTTTCCACGCCGCACTGAAGATGCAACTTTTAATGGAAAGAGAGGGCACTGCTGGCAAGCAACTGGGCGATCAACCCACGCCCATCGAGCTGCTATACGTGTGCTGTCAGCAAAATAACAATTGGAAAGAACAGGACATGCTGAAGCCCATTGCCCCGCAGCGCTTTGCTGCCGACCAACAAATCTCGCCGGCCCAATACGAATGGACCGCTCTGAACGAACGAGCCCAGGCCCAGGCGTACGCTGACTTGGAGTGCATCTTCGAACGTGTGCCCACCTGGCATCCCCTGAAGTCCAAGCAATTTCACATTAGCTTCGACCTGACGCTAGCCGTGCTTCGTCTCTATGAACTGCACGCGCCGTCGACGGTGCTGCAGCTGTTCCTCTCCAAGATGGGCAACAGCGGCGAAAAGTTGGCCCTGGCGCAGAAGGTGAAGTGCATTAAGGCCGTGATAGATGCCATGGTGGGGCTGAAGCAGCAGCAGGAACTGAAGCAGCTCAGGGAGACCCTGCCCGAACGGTCCGAGGAGCAGTTCTACTGTGAGAATGCACTCAAGTCGCTGCAGAGCAAGCGATGGACCACAGACAACATAAAGCTCAAGCTGTAGAAAGGATTTCGCTTCCCTTCTTTTGTTTTACTTGTATATAAACGTATTTTTATTGTTAATCATATATATAGTATGTATGTATATGCGTGTATAATTATTTTAAATCTACTTTTGTTTTATTAAATAATTGCAAATCACAAGCTGAATATCGAATAAAATATAACAAAAGGTCTGTATCCTGCAGCCTGCAGCATCCATCTCCTCGACCGGTGAGCTGTTGGAGAATTATTGTGTGGCCGAGAATGTCTTTGCTTTATTTTTAATAATTTATTGATTAAACAGAAATAAAAACGGGGCGAAGGCAATTTGCAAACAAAGCATTACAAAAAATTCGATCCTTTAAACAATTTGTTTGTCCTCTTAATTATTTTTGTTTAAATAACAGGCGCCTGTAAAAAGCATTTGATTTGTGTATGATGATTCTGTGTATAAATAACCGCAAACAACAATTATGGGTATAATAATTACGCGTAAACATTTATGGGGCAGGGGTAGAGGGGGGATAAGTGGGTATGTGTGTGTGTGTATTAAGTGTGGCATGAAGTTGCACAACAAACAAAAAACCTAAAACACGACGAAACACGATGCCAAACTCTGAACACCTATGACAAGACAGAATTCAGAGTCAGAGCAGGCGGAGGAGGAGGAGGAGGAGGCCGAGGTCAATGCTAATTGGCAGTCGACACCTCACAGTCCGAGTAGGTGAGCAAGCGCTGGCACAGAATCGTCTTGAACTTCACCGTAAAGCTATCGAATATGACATCCGTGTCCTGCAGCAGCTGCTGCTGCCCGGAGGCGGAGTTGGCTAACGCCGCTTGGTTGTTGTCTGCTGCCGCCGCAATCAGCATCTTGAACTTCTGATTGAGATTCTGCTCCAGGGTCGAGTTGTTGTTGTTAAAGTAAAACACATAGGCCAATTCCAGCAGATAGTAGTCGAGATCGGCCATAAAGTAACGCTCACACTCGAGCATATCGAACTTGCGCTCGAGGCAATGCAAGCACATATGATAGATGAGGTGCTTAAGATCGGATCTCCGCAGCGGCACATAGCCCGTGTCCTTGCTGAAGTACTCGAAGAGCTTCAGGGTGCGCTGGGCACTGTCGCAGCTCTGCAGGCAGAGCCGGAAGGCCTCCACAAACCTAAAGTTGAGCATGCAAATCCGAATCCGGTACTCGTTCCGATGCGGACGGGCGCACTCCCCGATCTTGTCGGGGTTATACAGCCCGTGGAAGGCATACAAGCAGTAGTGTATATAATGACGCAGCTGCTGCAGAGCCATCCCTCCCAGCGTGCCCTCAGAGCTCGCTGTGAAGGTGCTGACATCGTCATCGCCCCCTAAAAGCGCCGCGGCATTGGCTGGTATTCCCGTGCCTATTCCCCCCGCTGTCATTTGTTCCGCCAGCGGAGCATAGCTCTGCTCTTCGGGCGAATAATCCATGTCCAGGGAGCTGTTTGCATCGGTTTGCATCATCGGCGGTGCGGTGTACGAGAAACTAGCATCGTTCTGGCTCAGATTCTCCAAGCTGCTAAGCAGATCATCCGAATCCTGTCCAGTGGCCGCCTGCTCTGTACTGCTCTTGTATATGGGGGTTCCTATGGAGTAGCGCTGATCGAAGCTAATGTTGGCTGGCTGCAAGAAGTGTGGCTGATATGGCGGCATGACCTTCAGGTATCTGATTGGATCCTGGTCTAGACGAATGCGTGGCCGTGGCAGATTGATCTCCACGGGAGCCTCCACACACTGGCTCTCGAAGCGCATCAATCGCTTGGTCGTTGGCAGGCAGACAACACGCTGTCGCATACGCTCTAGGCCGGCCCCCTGATCTCTGCCACACTGCCCATTGGAGTTGCCGCCAAAGGCGCGCACAATGTGATCGGTGGTCATGACCAGAGTGAAGTCCGCACCGCAATCCACATACATGGGACGCTCAATGCTGTCGATGGGCGAGGGCTTCAGCACAGCACGACGATCCTTGTCCTCAGTGCCCAGCTGATGTTCAAGATTCTTGCCCCACGTATAGAGCGTGCACGTGGACGAGATCAATGCAAAATGAAATAGCCCACTGGAGATCTACAAAAGCACACGGCATAAATCATCATGGTCAATAGGGTCTGGTCTCCTTTTGTACACACCTGTAGAGTTTGTCCTGCCACCTCACTGGTATCCACTAGATGCGGCTTCATATGCTCTGTGGGATCAGGTTCGGTTGCAGGAGCCGGTGCCACTGGCGTTGCCGTAGGTTTATCCTTTTCCGCCTCACACTTTGAGCCAAGACGTTCGCTACCATCTGACGGCGCCGCCTCATTATCCAGTTGAGAATCTTTGGTCTCGTTGGCGACCTTTGGTGTAGCCCCAGCCACTACTGCTGCATACGATGTGGTTGGCTCCACCAGAGTACTGCTGCTGCTGTTGGGCCTTGGCAGCAGTGTAGCCTCCAGTTGCCTGCTCAACAGCTCGCGCTGATGGTTCTCCTCCAGCTTTTGCTTGGCATTGGCGCGACGTTTGATTTGGTTCGCCAGGCGTAAGGCTTGTGGTGAGCTGCCCCAAGTGTACAAGCGCTCCTGATCGTCTACAGCTAACTGCAGAAGAAGTGCACACAACAAGTCGGAAAACATTCAGAGAACAAAGCTGCTTGCTGCACTTACGTTGGTAAAAAATTTGGTGTGTATCAGTCTTAGGCTGCTGCCACCCGTCTCCAGTCGCACGGGCAGATTCACCTTTGTATCGCTGCCCAGCTCGCTATTTCCAGTGCCCAGCTGGCCAAAGTGATTCGAGCCAAAGACGAAGAGCTCGTTGCTGCAGTTGTAAGCCTCCTTGTAGCTATTGCTTGCCTGGCACATCACCAGACTATGCGCATGCCCTAGCGATATTTGTAAGATTTTCTGAAAAAGCAATAGTGAATGCAATACTCTAATTAAGAGTGCGGAGGTAGAAGAGACGAACCTTATACTTGAAGAAGCTGACTAGTTGTGGTGTGGCAATATTCTCGCAGCTGCCCTGCCCCAGCTGGCCATAGACGCCCCATCTGTAAGAATGGTCGAGAAAAATAAATAAATTTTAAATAAAGAAGAACTTTATCGGTTGACTGTATCGGTACGAGGGCCCGGGGCACCTGTTCTTCAATTCTCTCTTGGGCTATCCTTCGTCAGAGACAAAGCATCGGTAAAGAGAGAATTAAAGCCCCGCACCCGCACCCGCCCCGCCATAGAACAGCTTGCAAAGTCGTCTTTGCTGAAACCTACCCCCACATATAGAGCCTGCCATCGGCCACTGCCGCATTGTGATATTGGCCCACCTCGAGCATGGTTATATTCATGCCATCCAAGGCTGTCACCAGCATCGGCTGCAGGGCCATCTGCATGTGACGGCCAATGCCCAACTGGCAGAGACTGTTGTTGCCCACCGAGTAGAGCTGCAAGAGACCACAAATATGAATAAATATGCACTGTGCTTGCTGTTGCTTTG